TCTTGGTATGAGCTTTTCGTGTGCATGCACACTTCTTCAGATACACATTATTTGTGTATCTGAAGAAGTGTGCATGCACACAAAAGCTCATACCAAGAACTTAGTTGGTCTTTAAGGTGCTACTGGAAGGAATTTTTTTCGTTTTCACATTTTTCTGTTAGCTTTTAACTCTGGAATTAACGTCCCCCAGATTCAGTTTCCAAATATTAGAATATACTCTGGAGAAATAAATTCACTGGTTTGCTTCCTGGAAATTTTTAAAGATTCTTCCAGAAAAACCTAACCCACGATATAATAACTGTAGGGAATTCTATGCATAGTAAGTTAAGGCATGTCATCTCACGTTGTTAACGTGCACAGCTTTTCAGACATAGTGCTCACAAACTGTCTGCTTTCAGAATGCATAATTCTTGAGCATTTCTAATCAACTCATAAACACAAATAATGGACTGTCACTCAAATTCAGTTCAAACCTGGTTTTTTATGAAGTGTTTTTTATGCAGTGAAACAAACTACAAATTAGTTTTTCTAAAACTTGCAATTTTCTGCTCAGGTTTATAACCAATGCTATTTTAAAACTGCAAATGTATTTTGAATATGCACATGTGATCCACATTTACTAACATACTCTCTAGTGAACCCCAAAATGGGTTGGTCTCATCTCATACTCACAACTTTCTTTACATAAAATGTTCACTCATTTTAAAATGGCATAGTCATACATAGTTAACTTTTGTAAGAAAAAAACCAGAATGACTAAGCCAATCATCTCCACAAGAAAAATCAGTGCCAAGCTTTGACTAACTGCAATGATGCATAAGTACCAGAACTGAAGACCATCTTCTTTGAAAGCACATGCCAGTGTCAAGATATCTGAAACCCTCATTGGCTCAAGATCAGCAACATACTATGCTACATATTAGTACAAGGGGTAACCCTCCTCTCACCCGTTTTTTCGGATCGTATTTCCTACTGCCACAATTATTTTGCAAACACTTAAGAGAGCTCTGCACCATTTACTGTTTTCTACTCTTATAGCTTCTAAAAAGGCCCCAAAGATTAAATTTAGTTCCTCTGAAAACTGCCACATAAATCCACAATTGGGGAGAGCCATCGTGGAGGTTCCACATATAACCCATTTTTAAACCCCCTTCTTCCCACCACAGTGCCTTGTGATCCCTGAAAAGCTGCTCCTGGAAGTAATGGGACTCTCCAGAAGTGCCAATACGTCACAAAAAGCTGCAGTTAAAGGGGAACTCTAGAGTTGCCATATATAATGAAAGCACATGTTGGTGTGCACACAGTCCTACAAACTCCAGCATTCTCTAACTTACCTTTCAGGTTACAAAGTGCTGTACATTCTTTATCTCCATCATCCTCACATCAACCCTGTCCATAGTTTAGGCTGGTACAACATGCCCAATGCTACCAAGATTTTAGAGCTAAAGTCTCGCCAAAGAGAACACTACCATTTGCACCATGCCATCCTGTTTAAGTATCATCTCCACATGTAATGCTTTTACAGTTTACCCCTTCCTTTTCAGCATGTCAGAATGTGTGAACCATGACCACCCTCTGTTTTGATCTTTGCTGCATATCTAACTGTTTCTCCGCAAACACAGAGCTGGCATCAGGCAATGTTAAATCTATTCAACGGCTTTTAAATAAGGAAGAAGTAAAAATACCCAGAACCGGTTTCACAGTCCCATCCTCCCAATTCTGCATGTAAAGCAGGAGGCTTCCCAAAGGTCAGTTACCAAATTTGGTCAACAATGGTGCCATCACTGCTGTCATCATTCTTGTCACTGTCAAGAGCAACAACTGTCACCTTGCTATTATCAGCAAGGGAAGGCAACTGGAATATTCCCCCATGCAAATTCTATTTACAGTTTGCATTGCATCCAAAAAAAGATTTCCAGCAGTCTCAGTTAGTTTCATAACAATCAACCGCACAAAGAATACTAGTTCACCTTCTTACTGGGGCCAAGGTTAACAGGCAAAAACTGGGAGATCCTACTTCAAATAAAAAAATATCATCGATCCCATGGATACTATGTATCAAAAAATGTTAGTGTGTATCTGGTTTAACTGGTATGCAATCCTGGCCCCATATTAAAACACAACTTTGAACTGCAGTATCCCAGCAAAATCAAACTTGTTCTGAGAAAATATGGTTAGGATTGAGGTCAAAGTAACTGCACTAAAATCCAGAGACAAAACACTTTCTGGTAGAAAACATGATATTCAGTCCCAAGGCTAAAACTTAAGGCAAATTAAAAGGTATGGTTTTTGCACTTCTCAGTTTAAGAACTTTTGAAGAATCTGCATGGCAGGTTTATATACATGGCAGGTCAGACAAATATGAAATAAAAAATATAAGATACTTACAAATGATATACACGCTGCCAACAACAAAATTCTAACTAATAAATCTTCAAACTGTTCGATAACAAGCTCAAGTAAAGTTTTTCCTGCCAAGAAAAAATGTAGACATAAGTTGTCAAATATACACTGATTAATGTCATGTAGAAATATGAAATGCCTCACAAACTTGCTTACCTTCTTCAGCTGGTAGCTCTTTAAGAGATAAAGATTTCCGGAAAGCACGTCCAAGAAAGGAAGAAAAAGCAAGATATTATTAGAAACTAGTATAATAGGATCCATACTTGAAGCCTCAGCTGCATTAAAGGGTTTTTTAGAATGTTTAACTTAATATCAAAGGCACAAACAGTGTAATGGTTAAGGTGCCTTCTTTCACTGAGACAGAGAGCAGGCCTCATGCTCCCAGCATTTTACCCTAAGCATCAAGCTGGTGAGGTTACAAATTCAGCCAAGTCATCACTGCTGCCAACCATAACTTCTAATGGAGCTTCACACACAGGGTCAAAGGTGTTTAAACACACACACCTCTCTTAAGCCTCAGACAAACAGATTTTATTTTTCCCTCAACCTTCCTTTTTCAAAAAGCAAGGAGGAAAGAAAATACACTTATTCACTTTTCAAGGGTAGCTCCCTCACCTCTGGCCCCGTCATACAATTTCCTATGCAAATGCCGGTTTTGCAACACAGTGAAAGCAGTGCGCCTTCTCGCCCCCTCCCGCACCTTCAGAATCCTCTTTTTAAACCAAGAGCGTTTAACAGGAATGAGGAACCAAGCCGGAAGGAAAAGAACAAAAGAAAGAAAGGTCAAATAAGCAATAGGCTAAGATGCTAAGAACGGGAGGGAAAAGAGAGAGATAAAACGTGTTCCGTGTAAAACAGAAGCAGCTCTGCCCTCGTTAAAGGTGAAAGGGAAGCGGGCGGGCAGCTTGTACGCTGGAACAGCCCCAGGAGCCTGGGGCACGGAAGGGAACCCACGAGGTGGATCGAGAGTCAGCCATCTTCTCTCTCCCTTTCCTTTTATTCCGGTTCCTGAAGCAGATGCCGGTTTTTTTTCTGGGGGGTGTGCGGATGTGTCCTGTGCGTGGCTGCCCACACGATTAGGCCTTGAGAAGGGGCCGAGGGAAGAGGAGAAGAATGGTGATAAAAAGGAATGCGGAGGGGGGAGGCGATCCCAGCAGCATCTCCCCTCCGGCCAGGACCTACCGTTGGCGCCCCATCTCTCCTTGAGCTTCTTGACCTGCTCCAAGCTGAGCCCGGTGCTCTCGTTGACGCTGAAATAAGCCAAAACTTCCTCCACGGTCTTCGTGTGCGCGTTCTCCATGGCTGAGGCCGGCGGAGGAGGAGAAGCAGCAGCAAATGGAGCCTCGCTCGGGTTTCCCTCGCCTTCCTTCGCTGCCTCTCTTCCTCTTCCTTCTTCGCAGCAGCAGCAGCAAATAATAAAAAAAAAAAGCGGCGCCTACCCTCGCTCACCACTAGCCTCCCTCTCTACTCCTTTCCTCGCCCGCCCGCCACCCTCCCTTCCCCTACGGATCCCCACTCCTCCTCCTCCCCGGATTTGTCACCATCGAAGACCAGAGATCCAGAGGGGGCCCGGCGCTTTCTAGCAAGGCGAAGCCAGCCAGTAAACCAAGGCTCTTTCGGGGGGAGGGACGGCCCACAGCTACCACCAGGCTGAGGGGGCAATAAAGCCCCTTTTCCCCTCCTCCCACCCCAACTCAGAAAGGCACCCCCTCTTTTTTTTTTACTGGCAAGGGTGCGTCACCCAGCCCTCTCCGCCCTCCCTCAGGGTGACGGGTCCAACTCGAGGGGTGTTTCGTGAAGGGGGTGGCAAAAATAGGAAGAAGGGGCTGCTACCCAAACTGGGGGGGTTTATAAAATGAGACACCCCCTTTTAAAGAATTCCTCCCCTGACTTCGCAGTCAGTAAGTGGCCCCTGGCGCCTCGCCTCCCTCCGGGTTCGCTGAGGTGCGAGCGCCCTCAGGGTTGGGGGCAGACAGAACCGCCCCACCCGCCTCTGACGGGGCAGCACCGGCGGCTCCTCGGCGCGCTCTTCCCCGGCCCGGCAGCGCAGCGCAGGCCTCGGTCGCTCTCCGGCTTCCTGCCCCCCTTTTGGTGTGTGGCGGCGGCGGCGGCGGGGCTTTTGGGGTGTCCCTTTCTCCCGCTTCCTGCCCTCCCTCGTCCCGGCTCCCCTCCCCGGCGCTGGCTGAGCCGCCGGCCGCTGCTCTAATAGAATTTATCCGAGCCAACTCGCGGCTGCCCCTCTTGCGGCCGCGGCATGTGGACGATGCTCATTGGCCGAGAGAGGAGAGCGAAGGGAGGGGGGAGGGGAAGAGGCCCCGCCCACCCGTCGTGACGTCACCGCGAAAACCCGTATCCTGCTGCTGCTGAGATTTCGCCAGAAGCCGGGAAGAGGCGCGAGGGAGGGAGGCGGGGAGGAGGCGGAGGGAGTCACTGGTGTCTACAACAGAACGAATAATAAAAAAATGAGCCCCCCCGCCCCGCGGATTGATTTTGCGGCGCGCGCTGACGCTTGGTGCCGTACAAGTCCGGGAACGGCCTCGCTTGGAAAGGGAGTGGGCGGGCGGGCGTCGCAACCAAAGCAATGTTTGAAAAGGATCCGAGGCAAGTCTCTCGAGCGCCTTCCTCTTTGCAGCCGAGCTGCCCGTTGGCCTCCCTGAGGCGACGCTGGGCGGCCCGTTGGCCTCTCCGCCCGCCTCCGGGTCCCGTCGGGTCAAGGGGCCGCGTGGCCGCCCTTCACACGCACCCGACACGCCCAGCTGACCTTTCCAACACCTGAGCCCACCTGAATCTTTTAAACACGTTAACATGTGTGTGTGAGAACATGTTGAAGCGCGCACACGCGTTTTACCTCTCAAAAGGCATTCTTATTGAGGCGGCTTCGTTTTTCTGCCGTTTCCACACAGCTGCTATGAGGGCAGATGCGCTCCCCGCCCCCCCGCGAGTCTAACAGCACTTTTTAATATAAAACATGCTTTTCACGCTCCTTGGCACGTTCACCTCACGAAGTCTTGCCTGAAATACAGTCGCTATTGTTGATTTGATTAATTACTCTTATCCCCTCAACCCCACCCTTTTATGTCTTCAGACCTGAAAAGCAGTTGACAGGATTAAAAGCAGTTGAGGCAAGGAACATATAAGCAGTCGTATAAACTACAGCAAACTATTTGAAAGGACCACAGATAAAAGCAAATAAAAAACAGCAGATTAAAAACCGATCAAAATCATTTGGGGGGGGGGAGGAGAGAGGAAGGATGGAATACAAAATTGAAGGCTTTGTGAAATAAGAAACGCAACTCTGGGAGGATATCCCACAGTCATACAGTGTCGCCACCAAATGGCCCTTTCCCATGTTTCTTGGTCTTCCAAGATGGGCAGTCTTTCCCCTGCTGCCTAGCTGTTAGCTGATAGTAGACAGGACTGGATTCTGACTTGTTATAAAACAGATTCCAGTGTGCCTGAGCTGAAAGTGCTTTGATTTGATCTATTTAAGGTCAAACTCCCAGGCATTTCAACTGTGCATTATGCCGTTTAAGATCATCAGTCTTCAGTAAGTCTTGCTGGAACACACAAGAGGACCATGCCTCAACCTCAAGCAGGTGGCACCAACATTATTTATTTACTACTAGTTGCCTTGTACCTGGCATTGCTTAGGACTGTAAGAACCTAAAAAAGAAAGTGCAATTTTGAAAGGTTCAGTCCACCATCTTGATTCAAAATAGCATCTAATTGTATCCAAACATAGACAAAAACTTGATCTCAGGAACCATCATACAAAATTTGGTTACGATATCTTAAGTGTCCAAATGAACAGCAAACAAATAGATTATTATTTTAGCAAATTATATTTGGGATATCAGATTACAATTTGGGAGGAAGATTAGCTCTTGCGTTTCCCACCCGTGTATTGATATATACTATAAAACTTGGTGCCAGTGGTGTCCTCTAGATGTTGTTGGACTACAGCTTCTGTTTATCGCTGACCATTGGCCATGCTGTCTGGGACTAATGAGAGTTGGAGTCTAACAACATCTGGAAGGCACTACATGATAGGCTAGGTAAAGGTACCCCTGCCCGTGTGGGCCAGTCGTGTCCAACTCTGGGGTTGCGCGCCCATCTCGCTTAAGAGGCCGGGGGCCAGCGCTGTCCGAAGACACTTCTGGCTCACATGGCCAGCGTGACAAGCTGCATCTGGCGAGCCAGCGCAGCACACGGAAATGCCGTTTACCTTCCCGCTAGTAAGCGGTCCCTATTTATCTACTTGCACCCGGGAGTGCTTTCGAACTGCTAGGTTGGCAGGCGCTGGGACCAAGCAATGGGAGCGCACCCCGCCGCGGGGATTCGAACCGCCGACCTGACGATTGGCAAGTCCTAGGCGCTGAGGTTTTACCCACAGCGCCACCCGCGTCCCTACATGATAGGCTATCTTAATATAAAACAAGTGGTGTTGGCATTCGTCAAATGTTGGAGAATACGCATCAACCCCTTCTTTCTGCCCCCTAATGTTTTTTAAACAGCAAAAGTATGCACACCAAGGCAGTACTAGAACAGGAAATTCTGCTCCTTCTGAAAAACTGCTTATTAGTACAAAATGCTTCCCTAGATTTTAGACCAGATTTATCATCCAGTGATAAAAGCTTTTCTGAGAGGGCATGATGGGTCAACACATTTTATCAGGTAGGAGTTAAAATTAGTACTTCTCTTGCCGGAAAGGAGCTAGAACCTTGAAAGAAGAATGAATTATCTATGCAGATGCAATCAAAGTGTGGACAGGTCTACAAATAGGCTAATTCTGTCCCTTAAAACCAACATTGAAATATTACTCCCTGCCCCTGTTTACCTCTGTGGAATTTAGATGAGAGCATCAGGCTCTCCTGAAGGGATAATAATTTGGAAACGCATGGTGTTTTCTTGACCAATTTATCTCTCTTCACTGGCAAGCAAGTTATTTTGGCCTGTCTGTGAGAAGGCATCAAAGCTGATTGTAAACTGTGGAAGCATGAAAGCTTCAGGCAGATTAATTTTTGAGCTGGAGCAAGCTACAGAAAAATGTAACTAAAAGGGAGACCAACACATACGAATTCTCTGCTCCCGAGGAGCTGAGATTGCAGTGTGAATGCAGAGTGGGACCTTGGCAAGAAAGGCAGCACCGCAAGAGGTCAAATTAATTCTCAGTGAAATCCTGTTGGCTTTAATGGAATAAAATCCCTGTTCATTAATCTGATGAAGTTGGCCGTCACTCATGCTGCAAGATATCCTTTCACCTCTAAAGTAATCCTGAATATTTTAACAGAGATTATGAAGGCTTTGAATCAGGATACCTGAAAGCTCAGCATCCAGGTCATGTGAAGTGATAATAAGGCAAAGAGTTACACTGAGCATGTGCAGATTGTCCCTGTTTCATGGTAGCCATATCCAGACCCCCACAAGTTCCTACTTTAGGTTCCTCATCAGGATTTGCCTCTTTCATTAAACCTTTGGCCTAATCTCATAATTCTCACCCTGATCCAAAATTATGTCTAAAATTTAACGCAATTTCTCACCTACTCTCTGTGTGAAACTTCACTTATCCTTTCTCCCCCCTTTTTGTCTCCCTCACAATACAAACATAGTTTGTGAGAAAGACCTATAGTGCAAGGGTTTTTCCACTTCTCTTATTCTGCAAATGTTAATGGCGCTGTATATATGAAGGCGGGAAAGAAATTGAATATATGCACACACACACACTTTCTCTCTCTCTCTCTCTCTCTCTCTCTCTCTCTCTCTCTCTCTCCCCTCCCTCCCTCCCTCCCTCCCTCCTATGAAAATACAATATATTGGCTAATGGTACTTAGTGTAATTGTCCATTCCATTACGGCCAAATATGTTACTTTTAGGTGCCAGGCAAAAATGTTTCTTTTCATACAGGCTTTTGGCCTTTAACTTGGAGTGTTTTGATTTTGTGGCCTCCACTAATGGGTGAGATGTGTTAAATTGCCTTTTATGCACATAAATGCTTTTAGCTTTTCTGTTTAGTTTTATCTTGGTTTTATTTTTTATTATATCAAATGTGTAAGAAATAATAATAATAATTACAAAATATAGCTCACTGGACAGAATATTAATCAGCCCTGAATACTAAAATATACACACAAGTACCTTCCACTTTGGATTATACTATTCTAGTCTATTGACCTGATATTCCTTCTTCATCTATCTGTATTAGAACCAGACCCCAACATTCTGTCATAGGCTGACCTAAACACAGATTCAATATGGGACCTGTGAAAGAGGATAGGGAGTCAGACAGAAGCATTCTTGATTCATAATGGACGGGAAATGATCCCATTGCTTTGTCCTTTATAAGTTAATTGCTTGTTATCTTCTCCTATGGAGAAAAAGCTGTGCATGAGGTCAATGAGGGTAGCATTGCTCTCTGCTCTGACACTAGATGACCCAACCCTCTCTGACAGGCTATATATTGGACTACAACTCCCATCCGTTCCAGCATGATCCAGAGGATCATGGGAGTTTGTAGTCTGAAACATCTGGAGAGCATCTGGAGAGCATCAGATTAGTGAAGGCTGCCATGGGGTGTAATTTTCCATTTCCTCCAAACCTGAGTGGTGCCAAAGGAGGATGTTTTGGGACAGGAGTTGGAGCAGCCAAGGAGCTGTCCAGCAGGATCTGGAAGGCTGGGCAGGGGACCTCCCCCTCACAGCTGTTGAACCAACAATTTGCAATCAGTAACTGATGGTTTTACAGTAGACCCAGCTCTGCCTCTTCTGGCATCTCCATGGGGCTCTGATCCAGAGCATGCACTAGTACGTACCTGCTCTTCCCAAGCAGGACTGAGGACATGGAGGCTTCAGTCTTCCAAACAAACATTTGGTCCCTCATTATTGCAGCCTTCTCAAGAGGGGAATATTTCAGTTCTTTCTTAGGAGTTGTTAACTTCCCAGGGTCCCCATCTGTGCTGGGGCTCAAAGTTGGGTTCTGCTTCTCCTTTGTGGAGAAAGTCTGGTTTGGTTCAGGGTCTGCACATAGGCTGGTACTGAGCAAGATTCATTTTGGTATTTAGACAGAGGACATCCTCCACTCCCACTCCAGTCTTTGCAATGCAGAAGCTTTCCATCTGCATACATCCTGCCCATCATCATGGTGGGTATTTCACTAGCAAAGAGTTGCAATCATCTGGCATTAGGAGGAAGGCATTTCAGTTCAGAGAGTGTGGCTTGTTTCAGGCCCCAGCACTGAAGTACTGGAGAATTTGTAGATACAGAATGAATCAGGGTTTCCATCTTCGTTGCCACAATGTGTTAGTGGATAAAGCATTTTTAAAAAATGAATGAAAGCATAAATGGGATTTGGTCTCAAGAAGGACATCTGCTTAAAATGATCATGCACTCACCCCACATTATGTAAGGTGGCAGATTTGTTAGTTATGCTGGTGGCTGTCCTTAATATGTGTGACAATGGAGTTCTCTTTGATGCTCAAATGTCAGGCCAGTGTTTAATGGCTTTGGCTGGAGTTAAGCAAAGCACAGGAGGGTGCCATTCAAAATCCCCATGCAGTTCAGTCAGTTCATCCAAATGCTGACCTGCAATACCCTTTCTATTTCAGGTCTGGGCCCCATCCATATAGATGCAGACAATATTCAACCTTCTCTCCATCAGACAATAGCCTAGACTGTTGTATGTGTGCAGATGGATAAATAGGGATATACTTAAGTGTCCACTGCCATCCAGGTTGAAACCAGGTAGTTCCATTATGTTTTAATCCAATTTTAGCTACAGTTCTTAAGCTGTGGAGTTCAATTCAGACACTATATGACCAGACCACTGTGACTCTCAGCGTTTGTTGCTGTTGTCATAACTGCTCACAGAAATTAAGTTCCCAATTATCCTATAACTCAGCAGTGAAAGAATGTGAGCGGAAAACTATTTTAACTTTCCTATTGAGTAAAACATAGATGGTGAAATGGTGGTAGAGGAAACTAATCTATTCCTCCTACATTTTAGGCCATGTGCACGCAAACAGGTCTCCCCCACTGGTTGCTGTGACAAGTAGGATTCGGTGCTATCCCAGCAAGTGAAGGAGGAGAGAGCAGAAAGCTGTTGTTGGAGGAATCCAATACCAGCTCCTGGTTTTGATTGTTTTTGTGGGCTCTCATGTACCCAAGTAACATTGGGCCCACTCACAGCAGCTGCCACCCACCCACTTTCCTTAGGTAATTTACCTTAGTTAGGTAATTTAGGACTCTGGACTTAACCAACTGACACCTCCCCCTCCCCTCTGGGCCCATTCTCCACAGTGGGGCAGAAGCAGATAGTGACAGTGAAGAGTGGATGGAGCAGCAAGAGTTGCTGAAATTTCCCAGGGAACATAAGGACATCAGAAGAGCCCTGTTGGATCAGACCAGAAGCCCATGCAGTCCAACATCCTGTTATGCTGCTGGCCCACCAGGTGCCGATGGGAAGCCCATCAGGAGAATAGGAGTGCAAGAGCTCTCACTCACTGTTGTTCTCCAACAACTGGTATTCAGCGGCAGGCTGCTGCCTTTGTACATAGCCACCATGACCAATAGCCCTTGATAGCCTTATCTTCCATGAACCTGTGAATCCCATCTCACAGGTAGGTAAGTAGGCTAGGGTAGCAAAACAGGAGCAGTAAGATGGCCACTGCTGTCCAGCAACACATTCAAGAGGGCTGCCATCAGTGGAGGAGGCTTGTGCCAGCGGAGGGGGGTGCAGCTGCCCTGCTATGCCAACCACTGACACTGTCTGGGTCTGGGGGATTGACTGGGAGGCTAAATTAGAAAGCTGTAGGCCTGCGTTGCCGTCTGGCAGCCTATAACCATTGCCTGCAATTGCATAAAAATTAGAAGATGGTAAAGCTGCATTTCTCTGATAGAATAAAACAGTTTAAATATAGCAACTACAGTTGGGTATTTTTGTAGTCATCTTGCTCTTTGATATCATGGGAATATGTCAAGCTCTATTTAAGAAGCTTAAAGCTTTGAACTACTTTTTTATTTTAAGAAATACATTTTAGGTGATTGGAATAGTTGTACAAACCCAGTAAGGGAAAACTTCTCATATGTTGTTTTAAGTGTATGTAAACGGAACAATTATTTGTGTGTCTGTGTGTATTATCTTTCTTGCCAGGCAATAGTGGGTGTTCCTGTTAGCATCAGGAGGTTGAAACTGGCAAGAGCCCTGAGATTATGGCTTCAAAAGGCAGCAGCTGAATTTCAATGACTTTTCCAATGGGGCTGTTCATCCCTCTCTGCATTTGTTCACAAGATAAGTAATGCCAGCGAATCAGTTTCTATGAGCTGTGGGATGAAGAGTCAAAGTCTGGGTTGTTGGTATGTTTCTTTCTTTAATTCTCCCCACCCCCCCGCAAGCCTCCACATTAATATTTTGTTTGTCAGGAACATTCCTGTTTTGGAACCAGCTTTCAAAACTGTCCTATCCATTCCCTCTGCGTGATTGAATTTTGTATGTACCTACCTGGATCCTGAGATCATCAGTTGCCCTTTTCCCAGTATCCCCATAAGCTAATATATGAAAAGTGGCAAAGAGAATTTGAGTAATTTTGAGAGGTAGTTCCTGGTTATGGAATACCCTCCCCAGAATGGCTTACCTGGCACCAAATTTTCAGCACCAGGTAAAGTCCCTCACTCGGTCAAGGCCAGTTAATTATCTGCATTTCACTGTTTTAGGCTGATGGCTTTAGCTCTGTGTGGATTTCTGCTAGCTGCTGGATTATATAATTTTTGTTAAATTGTGTTAATATTTTCTCTGATGTCATTTGGCATTTTTGTATTTTTGTGCTGCTACTGGTTGATCTTATTATTAAAAAGGTAAAGGTACCCCTGCCCGTACGGGCCAGTCTTGCCAGACTCTAGGGTTGTGCGCCCATCTCACTCAAGAGGCCGGGGGCCAGCGCTGTCCAGAGACACTTCCGGGTCACGTGGCCAGCGTGACATCGCTGCTCTGGCGAGCCAGAGCCGCACACGGAAACGCCGTTTACCTTCCCGCCAGTAAGCGGTCCCTATTTATCTACTTGCACCCGGGGGTGCTTTCGAACTGCTAGGTTGGCAGGCGCTGGGACCGAACGACGGGAGCGCACCCCGCCGCGGGGATTCGAACCGCCGACCTTTTGATCGGCAAGCCCTAGGCGCTGAGGCTTTTACCCACAGCGCCACCTGCGTCCCTTTGATCTTATTATTATTTTAGTCTATTATATGCTGCGCATTTTCTATATAACATTGGGTAGTGGGTCACTAATAAATGCAACACACATACATTATTTAAAAATTCAAATTCCTTTTGGACATGAAGTTTGTGGCGAAGTCACAATGGGATGATTTTATCTTGTCAATTTTGTGTACTGAATATTTATTGCAAGTCACAGCCTTCTCCAGTCCTGCACCACTAGCCCAGGTGCTTTTGGCTGCCTGAAATGTGTCCTCAAACTGTGATATTGCCTCTTGCTTGTCTTGATGAAAAGGTGTGTGCATGTCTGTTTCTAAACCCCTGGCTTTTGCATGGCTGGAATGTAGTTTACTAGTCAAAGGGGTCACAACGGTTGCTTTGCTCATTCAGAGAATCTTGCTCTTCTCACTTTTTCCTGCAGTCCTGCCCACCACTGACATGCGACCCCCAGAAGGAATGTGGTCCTCAGGCTGAAAATATTTCAGTGGAACCATAGTAGCCCCAACTCAGTGGGAGTCAATGACAACTAAAGGCCCCTTGAAATGAAGAAGTGCCTGACTGAAAAGTGGCGCTAATAGCTACAGTAGAATTGTTTAAGGCTCAGTCTGAGAACGACCGTTGCTGAAGCAATATTTGAGCTCTGCTCTTCCAAATTCTCCAGCCTGAGCCCTGCATAGAGTTCTCCAGGGTGCTACTGAAACTTGCCTTGCCTCTGTACTCCTAAGGCTGCTCCTCAAATCAGAATATTATATTGCAGAGAAATAAAAAGAAAACTTTATGGCTTCTAGAAAGACTTGCCTTTCTCATTTCTGCTGTTTGTTCCCTGGTTATTCCTCATTTGGACGACTAGGAGCTTGTCCACCCCAGAGTTCACTATGCGTTCATTGTGTCTTTGCATTTCCATTTAATTTGCATAGTCCACAAATCATTATCTTCAAACAACACCAATATTGTTGATTCTCCACTGTGAATTTGGGGTTACCTAATATGGAAATTATCCAATAAATTGAGGGAAATTGATCTTTAAACTTCTGAACTTGAGGGTTACAGATTATTTGGGGGGGTTTTGTGGGGTGTGTGTGTGGATGGCTTAGTCATCACTTTCTGCCACTACTTCCTCAATGCTTTCATTGCTTTTCTGGCTGTGCTTGTAACAATATGCAGTGCTCTCCTAAATGCAGGAGCTCACCCTTGATCCCTCAGATTTGCATGAAATCAGAAAAATGCAAAGCAAACCACTCCACGTGATTGTGCTGAGAATTTACAATTGCCTGACTCTGTGCTTTTGTGTACTTCCTGGGCAGGGTTTTATTTTTTAAGGTGCTTGCACAGCTATTGATGTGCATGCCCTGTTGGTACTTAATCGGCATAATATAATAAAGAAATTAGAAGATGGGGACATACACAAAAGGTAACCCCTACTGGTATGAATGAGAAAGACCCAACTAGCTCCTGACATACAAATCCAAGCATGTGCGGGTGTAGATGACTGGCCTAATTTGAAGGTGGGGGAGCGGATTAACAGCTAAATAATGCTCAAACGCAGACAAGCCCTACTAATGTACTGTATACTGGCCCTCTTGGTTTGCCATGCAAAGAAGTGCTTGACTCCCCTCTCAGGCTCTGCACTTTCATTTTTGGTTCTGTGTTGCCAGCAACAGTTTGCTGTATGACATTTTCTCAGTAGGTTTATTCTTACTGACGTTGCCTCTATAATTTTTTTTTTTAAATGAATTCAACTATCTCAGCCCTCAAAAATATATGACAATAAAAGCTCTATATTAACAAGGTGAGGTGAAATGGGAATGTGCTTCCTCCCTGCCGCTGTGCTCCCCCCTTCCACTGTGTGCCGAAAACTGCCCCCTCTTGTTGAATTCTGCAAGAGCAGGGAACGTTCCACAAGACCTTGGTGCTTGACTTCTCTGCCCCAGGGGCAAGGAAGATGAGTAGCAATGCTGCATGCCAGAACACTTGCCTGTCATTGGAACTCAGTGGGGGGGGGGATGTTCCAGTGGTGATGGAAGTGGTGGGGCAAGAGTGGTGCCGCCTCTTGCACTTCCACTGCCTGAGGCAGCTGCTTCACCCCACCTAATGGGTGAGCTGGCTCTGCATTGACAAGTTTCTCCTAAAACCCAGCCACTTAGACGGGGGCCTAACCTATAACCCTCCAGATGTTGTTGGACTCCAACTCCCATCAGCCCCAGTCAGGATGGTCAACCGGGATGGGAGTCACAAGTCCAACAACATCTGGAGGGTTACAGGTTCTGCAGCCCTGCTCCAAAGATTTAACCTAAACAGGATATGCCCAGAAGAGACTTTGAGCCCAGAGAACAACATTCACAGAGAGTTCCCAGAGCTCAATATTTTGAGGCTCAGTGTCCTGCTTTTCTCTTTGCCTTGTGCATAGCTCTTATCTACGTCAGAGGGATTTATATGCTCACTGAAATTGTCCTGACCTCCAAACCCTTTTCTATTTTAGGCTGTTTGACTTCTTGACATTTTCCCGGTTATTCTCAGATGTTTTGCTGCATTTTACCTAAAGCTACACTATGCTGGAGACACATGTAAAGCCAACAGCTTTCCCTCTTTAGAGCCATTTAGTTATTTGATTCAGAAAAACGGGTTGCCAGGTTTTAGAATATTCCTGCCTGGCTGTCTCAATTCCTTTAGCAGCCTGGCATGCTAATAGGAAGTAGGTGAAGCATTTCCTGGCATGGAGATAAAACTTTCACTTGCTAGATTTCTGGGTCAGACATAGGAGTAGAGACAGAAAAAAAGTTGGCATTTTTATTCAGAACATTCCACTGCAATTCAATTAACAGTTGGCTGTATTTTAACAGGTTTTTTAAATAAAAGAACCCTCTTATGGATTGCACAAACATGAATTGCAAAAGCAATATTAAATGTGCACTTCCAGATACAATTTTTTTTTGGGGGGGTGAAGGATCAATATCTACATGGCAGTTATTGGGAGTACCTGATCCTCTTATGAGCACATTTGCTCTCCACATCACACACAAACAGAAGTGCTTGCTTTCATGGGATAGGACTCAGAGATTCAGGTCTTGGTAGGAGGAATTGCAAGGCAGAATCAAGGCAGGAACAGGCACCCAGGTGAGCAGGTAGAAGTCAAGAAAACTGACAGGTCAAGGGGTGGCACCTTGGGGGTGGAACGAGGACATGGGCCAGCCCTGCCCTGTTGTGCTAAAACCATCGTTTTCATGGGGATGGGGTTTTAACTTGGGTGGATGTTGTTTATTTGTGGGGATGTTTTAAATTGTTCTTAAGCATTATATGTTAATTTGTATTATGTATTTGTATTTTTTGGTTATACAAGGCCAGGGCTCAGCAAGATTTACCTCATCTGGGCTGGTTCACTCCAGCGGAGATCCGTCTGTGGGCCGGATTGCCCACAATTTCTGGCGTCTGCATCTGCACAGACATGAGTCCCCGTGTTGTGCTGCGCCGGTTTAGCACAGTGCGTGGGGACTCGCTCAGCGGTTTGGGAGTGGCTTGTAAATGATCCACGTGGGCCGCTTGTGGCCCATGGGCCTTAGGTTGCCTATCCCTGTACAAGGCTGATTAATATTCTACAGCCTTTTAAATGTGTTTGTGGGAGGGGGCATTATTGTTTTGTTGTTTTTATTCAAACTATTTATTTGTGCTTTTACCTTGTATTTTTATCTTGTGAACCGCCCTGAGATATTGTAATGAAGGGCAGAATATCCTCATAAATTACTGCTACTACTACTACTACTAATGGTTGCAGAACATGAATGTTTTCCTTGGGCGAATGGAACTGGATGGGGCATCATTACGGGACGTTCAGCAGAGCTGCCAGCTTTTAAATAGCTGAAATCAGAGGCACCAGGTGCCTGGAAGTCCTTCAAGGTTGTTTCCAGGGAGCAGGAGCCACTGCGGAGAGCAAGAGAAAAACATAAAAATAGCTTCAACATTTCCCAGCAAACCCATCAGCTTTTTCTCGCCTTAGACCATACCAAAATAGAAAATAATTAACTGGGAGCAAAATGTGTGACCTAATGTGTATGTGTGTGTATGCAAGGGAGAGTGCTGGGAGGTTTGGAAGTAATTAGATGCAAAGCTGCTAATATTCCATTAAAATATCTGTGGCTTCTCAGTGCAGTCAGGAAAAGTTAATCTATTCTGTGCCGTTAATACTAAAGCATCGGTTGTCAGAAGCTTCATTCCACAATCTCTTCCACACTTGCACATTTTTTGCCCACTAGGCTGAAAGTCTGGCTGGGGATGGAGCTGTGTAACCACGGGCAGTACAGAATCTGGTCAATGGCATGACATTGGACATTGAGAGATCTCAGCTTCAGTCTTGGTTTTGGACAAAGGTATTTGAAACACATTGGCCTTGTCTGGCAGTGACGCGCTGAACAGCAGCGGTGGCCATGGAGAGGCAATGAGATGCTGCCTCATAGTTCCTGCAGCCACAGCCGCCATCACTTGGGACAAGTGGCAGCTCATCCTCCTCCCCAAACTTGGCAGCAGTGGCAGTGGCGGGGGAAAGAGGGACTGTCCCTGGAAAATAGGAACATTTGGGAGGGTATGAGAAGAGTTTACCAATTAGGGTGGGGGCACACCATGCATGTAAAACACATTCCCCCATCCCTAGAAAGAATTCTGGGAAAGTCTGCTGGGAATTGTAGATCCTTGAGAAAACTACAATGTGCAGGATTGTGTGTGTGTGTAGGGGGTGCTTTTAAATGTATGTTGTATACACAGAGAGCTCCCCCAATGAAATATGTTTTCTCCTCCATGATTTATACAGTTCCAGCAGTCTAAGGCAGCTCCACAGGAGAGACTCTTGGTATCAGTCTTGACTACAACTGTTGTTGTGGCTGAGAACCTGTTAAGGAACACACCCAGTACCAAACAGCAGACAAGCCACCTAACACTTAAATGACATGAAATCACGGAGCTACAGGAACAATCAGACTCCATGGCCAGGCTTTTAAAATCTAAACAAGGAAGGCTTGTCACGAAAGGTTTGCAAAGGCATTATTAGGGGAATTGTTCATTGCCCTCTTTGGATTAGATGACCCATTAATGTTCTGAGGAAGTGATACTGGAGTAATAAACATCTAATGTAAACCCTAATCTCTCTAACCTCTCAACGGCTGGCAGTCAGGAGGATTTCCTGGCACTAAATGTGAAATTTGGCTAGGTTATCGGGAAATCCCATACCTCACGTCTGGGTTGGGGGAGTTGACATACAGTGGAGATGTTTTCCTGCGACTTTGATATATGAGTACATTCAGTTTGCTTTCTTGCACCTTTATCTGAGGATTCCCTTTTGGAATTCAACCCATTCTAAAGCTGCACCTGTTTTCCTGGGTGATGCTGATTGGTTACGTCTCAGCTAATTAATTTATAGGAGATGTGCACCAGTCACCTCCTGGGGTAATTGCTAGCTGACCCTAACTGCAGTTTTCAGTGTGGGGACCTTGTATTTTATCAGTAAATGGCAAAATGCATGTCATTATGACAGGGCTGAGGAGAGTGCTGGATTTGTACACTGTAAGAGGAAGCCTTGCAGGTGAAGTGTGTGCCTCTGGGTGGTCTGCACACAGACACCTTCTGCACCACCCCTGAGGGATCTTGGTTAGTAGTCAGCATTGAGAAGCAGGTGCTGCCCTCTGCATAACATACCCAAATTCTTTTCACAGGAAAAATGAATTGTGGCCAGCACCTTATGCAAGAGAAAATACGAGGGATCCATCGCGTATACTGTCAGGGAGGGTCAAAGATGGCCCCTGCTCCTAGTGACCTATCTTCAGCTGCACAGCCTGTCCTGGTCTTGGTCACTCGAGGCTGGGAAGGTGACTTTCATACAGATAGAGGACAGATTGGTGTTTGTGTTTTTATTCAAGCCCAGTGAGCTAATCCTGCACCCAGCTTTCAGATTCCCCATTCTTTCCCAATGGACTAGGTACCAAAAAAGAAAATCCAGCCCTGCTGCAGGCCTGTATTAAGAACCTGACCAGGAAGCTGTAGTTAATTACCAACCTCTGTGTGCAGCTTGAATCAGCAGCCAGACAACACAGTGTTGACCTCAGAGCTCGTGTTGTCCTGGGGACGGGGGGGAGGAGGGGCACAGGATGGGAAGGAAATCGTTTAACATTTTTTGATTACAGACTGACAGGTTTGAGAAGTCTGCACATAGTATAGAGGGAAAGACAAATCATACTTCACTTCAAAGCCAAGAGGAATTATCTTAGGGTAGCTGCAGGAACCTTTTTCTACAGCAAGTGCCTTTCCAATTGCCAGCTCTGACAGAGTGCTGGTCTC